TTACGTGTAGGGAAGGTGTTAGGCACCTTACAACGCCCTAAATCAATACCCTATAATGAAATTAGTGCGATTGCGAATAATAATTTAAATATTTAGTTCCCTTTATTAATGATTATTTACATGCTTAAATTTAAATTTACACAATTTACCCTAAAACGTCTACATGATTACTATTAGTTATAGTATCGTTTACGATAGAAGAAGTAGATAATGAAGAAAATACCTCTTTGAACGAGCTTTTATAAATACTTCAAATGTGGTAGACTTGAGGTGTTTTTTGACTGCCTTACACACTTAAAAGTACCTCACAAATCTCAAGAAATATAAAGAAAGAAAAGAATTTCAAGTTGCATAGGGCTTTAGAAGGAAATTTTTTTTATTTTTTCTTTTCCCTAATGCTATGTGCGAACCTACTATTTATAGGCACGAAAATCCACTAGAATAGATCGTTTTGAATTCAGAACAGGTCATTATGGGCCTTTTTATTACACATAAAATTTAAAATTGGAACGGCCTAGTTCCAAAGTGGAACGGTCCATTCCATATTTGAATTTTGCATGTAACAAACTAGGTTAGAATAGGGTTAGAATAGGGCATTCTAACCTAGGGTTACAAGCTTTTTTCTAAGCGCAGAACGATCTGTTATGGGCTTCTAATTTTGGCCCTCTATGTTTTGGGCCTCTAGATGTCATGTTAGCCTGTTTTGATGTTGTTTTTAGGCCTTTGGGAATTCCTTCTTCTTATGTTAAGAGTCTATTTCCTTGTTTATGTACCCTGGATGAAATTAGGTGTCTACATATTTCCCTTTTTACTTGTCCTTTTGAATAGTTATGTGTTGCTTTTCCAAAGACAAGTAAAGACATAGAAATTTCGTCTGGGTCCTTTCTTTATCTTTTTGTGCAAGTGCTTCCACGTCGTTTCCTTCAGATAGATGGGTTTGCATGTACCCCTGTTCTTTGGAGTAGCTGAGTGTTGGGTTGCGTACTCCGTTGGGTAACAAGGATGGCAAACTGTACCACCTAATCTTTTGTCTTCATGTAGATGCTCTATGCCATTTCCTGTAGTTGCTTTTCTGTGATAGTGAGGTGAAGATTTGAGTCTTTTTTTTTGCTTTGACAACAGGTGCCTCCATATTATTTCCTTCATGTAAATGGGTTTACCTGTATCTTTGTCCATTGGAGCAATTGAGTGTTGAGTTGCATGCTTTGTTAGGTGACAAGGATGGTAAATTGTACAATCTAGGCGTCCGACTTGGTGTAGAAACTCCATGTTGCTTCTGCTTATCTTGTGATAGTGTGATTTTATTTATTGCTTGTTGAAGAGGGAGTATATTCTGAATTCAACCTTTCTAGGCTAGACTGATATTAAGGCTTTAGCCGACTTATGGTGAGTATTACTTATTCTAGCTTCTCCAAGCTAGACTTGTATTGAGGTTTCAGCTAATTCTTTACAAGTTTGTTGAGTATTTCTTGATCCAGCCTCTCCAAGCTGGATTGGTATTGAGGCTCTAGCTGACCTTTTCTGAGCTAGTATTGGTTTTGAGAATCTAACAAACCTTTTCCGAGCTTGTACTGGTTTTGAGGGTCCAACGAACCTTTTTTAAGCTTGTACTGGTTTTGAGGATCTA